ATCATCTCCTCAATGAGGTGGTCTCAAAAGTCGCAGTTACAACACACATAAGGCGCACCGCACCAAAGGGCGCACCGCACATTTTGAGGAAAAAAAAAGACGTTTAAGTGCGCCTTATAGTCGTGAAAATACGGTACATGTAATGCTCTGTTAATTAACTTTACAAGAAAAAATGACAATTAGAGTTTGCCAAGTCTTCATTTTGATCAAGATTTGTCAGATTAAGATCAATTCATAACATCACATGTAGTATACAATTACGCCCCAGATTCAAACTAAAACATACCAAAGAGCAGAATTTAGGGCACACAGAATTCGCTCCCTCCTCAGCAGCCATGCAAAGGCCTGCTAATCAGCCATTTATTTATTTCAGGTGTGTGGGGGCAGGGATATACCTAAAGCCTGCAGGGCAGTGGGTCACTACCTGATCCATACTGGAAGCATGATCCAAACCATCAGCTTATGATGCCATAAATAATGTAATTATGGTACTAAAAGTATGTTTATCCTTCAATCACTAAATCTACATTACACTACATCTTTAAATTATTTAATAACTTTTCTCCGACAATTTGATGCTTTTTATATTTTCTCTGTTAAACTGCTTGTCTGGCAAAATCTGCATTTTAGACGTGTCCTTCTCTTGATTACACACTAATTATAGTAAATTAACTTTATTGATGTCACATTGGAGAGATTTACCTCTGCATTTAACCCATTCTCTTGGGGAGCAGTGGGCTGCCATCGTGCAGCACCTGTGAAGCAGTGTTGGGGGGATTAAGGGTCTTGGTCAGAGACCAAGAGTGTCAGTCTGTGGGAGTAAAGTAAGAACCTCAGGATTCCAAGCTCTATGCCCTAACCACTAGACCGCTACTCCTGTCATGATTTTACTAAAGATCAGACCCAAAAGCAGAAGACCAAACAGGGAGACCAGGAAAAAGGTCTAACAGGTTTATTAGGAGATTGTGAAGAATCCAGTGTTGCTCTGAACACTGCTCAACCGCAAGTTTCCAGAGAAGTTGCTGACTCTTTGACTCCAGTCTGTGTGCTGTTGTTCTAGTTTGTCTGATTCGGTGGAGAGCACAACAGGGTTTACCCAGAATGCGATTGTTATAGGTGAACGGAGAAGCTGACTGCCACTCAGATTTCCTGCGGTACTTGAATAGGTCGTACTGGAGATAAATCCCTTGCTCAGTGTGAAGCTCAAACAATCTCTTGGGGAAAGTAGATTCAAACCTCCAGTTTAAATCCTCAGCTCAGTTTGAAGCTCAGATGATCCTTCCAGGGAGAGAAGGTCCGAAACATCCAGTTTGCAGGATGACTTCCTGTCGAGAGGCAAAGACAAAAAACAAGATTAAGACTCAGGTTGACAAGAACTCAGTTTGACTCAGCAAAACTCAGTTTGGCTAGAGTACCCAAAACTGGCAATCACTCTGGCGTCGAGGAAGTGGCAGTCAGCAGCTTGAGAGCGCTCCGTTAATGAGGTAATCTTCTGCAGGTGTGTGAGGAGGCGGACCAGAACCAGGCGCCTCCTAGTGGAGGAAGGGAGACAAACACAGAAACACAAACACACAGACAGGAATCAGGACAACTCCCCTCACTATACACCATAATGTTAACACAAAAAGAAAAAAGAAAACCCGAAAAGACTCGATTTATGGTTAAATCCAAAGCTGAAAAAGTTAGCTCCTGGAAGTAGCGTGGATCTTATTTCCTGTGCAGAGCGGCCTCAGATTGATAAAACACAAAGGATTGAAATGCATTTATTTACTCAGGAAATGCATTATTAAGCTTTAACACACTGCAGTTTACTACGCTTACTATTTTTAAGGAGGGAAAAACTTAATTTAGGTACAAAGTAACAAAGTAAAATCGAGGGCAACCCGGATGTATATCTGGTTGCACCGATGAGCTGATGGTACGGATCGTCCTACATAATGGATCAGGTAGTAACTATGGAGCAGATCGGTCTCAGGTTTCACAAATACACATATGTCATTCATACATGCACAGGACAAGATCCATACATGCACAGCACGATTCACACAAGCACAAAAAAAATCCACACACACACACAGTACAAGATCCACCAAAGTATTTCTGGTACATAAACAATTATAAATGAAATTACAAAGTATTAGTGGTCTTTAAACTTTACTGTTTTTGTGTGTGGATTTTTGACAATGCCCTGACGTGACTCAGCACACAAATGCATTTTTTCTAAAACAGTTTGCCACCAATCACAAAGCCCCCTAGTATAAGCCAATCACTACAAAAGTACTCCACATGGGATGACTATCCCCAGATCCCACATCGTCGAGTTTGTGTTTTAGATTTACCTGGAAAATACAGATCTAGCGCCCCTAGTGGCTAAAAGTTACACAATGTTAATTAAAAAAATTGCAAAAAGAGTTTATTTGCATATAGCTTTAACTTTATGGATTTGTTGATAGCATATATTATGAATAACAGTCTCACCTTTCATAGATTAGTCTTTTTAAGCATATCCAACATTTTAAGTCACTTGTTGAGGCCATTCCATGTGTTATAAGGATTTCTAGGGGTTCTACTCCACCCTATATGAGACAGTGGAACAGTTCAGCAGCTATTTTTTGCTAGGTTGTTGCCTGGCAGTGTACATCATCTTTGATTGTGTTCATGCATGTGTGCCGAGTGAAAATGAAGCCCCTAGGTGTGACAGTGGAAGCATGTGTTGTGTTGCTATCTTTCTGCCATGCAAATTATTACACCCCCTGCAGATAGCTAGAGAATGAGCTCTAAATTGAATTTCCAAGACCGGGAGCCTCATTTTTCCTCATACCAAATCTTCCCTTCCCCTCGCAGCCACCCATTCTCCATCAGATAACACATCTGTCAGTGAGTCAGATACAGAATGGTTTAATGTCCAGCTGACCCAACTGATTAAATAAAGGATTTTCAAAGGAAGACAAAATGAAATAGAATCCATGTCCCACAAGTACTCCAGGGCTTTGCGGCCTTATCTGACAGGAGCAGAAGTGTAAAATAAGGTGGGGGTGGGGTGGTTGACCTTGGCTGCGGTGGAAAGAACATCCTGAGGACGCGGCTTAAACAAAGGAAGCATGACAAAATCAGCTGAATTAAAGGAATGTAGAGAGAGTTTTTCATTTTGGATATAAATGGCTTGAAAGAGTAAACGTTGGAATAGTCATAGAGCAAACATCCTTTCATTTCAGCTTGGGTTATGTTAAGAATGTCAGTGTACATCTGCTGCTTTATGTCATTCAGTGAGTTGATGGGTTGGTGATTCAAATGAGTGTAGATCATCAAATGTTAGGGTTTAAAATCTTTCAGCTGCTTCGGGTCAGCTAACAAGCTTTTCTTAAACATCGACACTACAGAAGTGATACCTAACCGGGAGGAGGAAAATGCGTAGGGCCCCAAGTTCCTGGGGGTCCGATAAACTCTGTTCACATCCATGGTTAATACAACTAGTCCTTATTTGTGCACATTAATTATGTTTTTGATTAAAAAATCCTTTGGCTAAAATGCCATCAGAACGCTGATAATATTAAGTGTGTCTAAGCCCCCCCCTTCAGTGTCCACCATATTGGATCAGTCCATTTGCTGCACATGTTCAGAAAGGTCCAAACAGACAGCAGCAAACCATTTGAAAACAAACCATGCAAAGAGCAGTGTTGCCAACTTAGCGCTTTAGTCGCTATATTTAGCCACTTTTCAGACCCCTCTAGAACTTTGATTTCTAAAAAGCTCCTAGCGCCAAATCTAGAGACTTTTTTCTGCTACTGGAGACTTTGGAGACAACATCTAAAAGCAGCGAACTCTGCTCTCCAGAGCAAGTAGATTGGTTACTAGGGATGCACCGATCTGATATTTTTATCGGTCCAGATATAAGGAAAAATAATAGATTGGTATCGGTGACAATTGACTCGATATAGGGGCATATCTAGCTGTGCCGTCATGCGGCAACACAACAACACAACACGGCCATATTGTTTATGATGAAGGGAGCGAAACGATCTGCGGTCTGGAGGTTTTTCTCACTCTCTCGTCCTACTAGCCCAACGGCTACGTGCAATATTGGTGGGAGAAATCTTCAAACAATAACACCACCATCTTATTGAAACACCTCCAGAAGTTTCATAACAACAAACGTGCTGAGATTATCGAACTTGGCAAACAAAAAGGAAGCAGCAGGAAGCAGCAGGAAGCAGCTAACTTCTTGAATCTCTAAAATCTTGATCAAGTCAGAGAACTTTTGGTTTAAGATTTTGTGCACAGTTGTTAAATTGGTCCTAACTTTTATATTTGGGTTGTTTCCTATTTTTTTTTTTTTTAAGAAAAGGGAAGTCAAATCATATGCACAGAAGAATGATCCCAGTTTTTTTTTTTTTTTTTCACAGAATAAAACAATTTTTTAGGTAATAAGTCAGTGCTCTTTTTGGTATCAGATCGGTATCGGCCGACATTAAACTTCAAATATCGGTATCGTATCAGAGGTGAAAAAAGTAGATCTGTACATCCCTATTGGTAACCCCGCCTCCTGCTCTCCTCTATCTTGTCTGCTGTCATGATTCATGCAGCTATTATTTCATCCAAATGAAAAATGGAGAACAGATAAGCAGATCATGGCTTGTCTACAGTGAAAAGAAGGACTGGGTTATTTACTTTGGCCTTTTTGGAAACACAGGAAGGAGCAATCAGCTAAGTGAGCTTAGTGCTTGGAAAAAATCTTTCATTCCTTTAGAGACAGCATGAAAAGTCAGCTGAGTACAAAACATAGAGAGGAAAACAAGAAGAAAAAGGGACAAGAAGAGAGGGACACAACCTAGAACAGATAATGGATGTCTATTCTATTAACATTTCTCTATCTGTAGAATGGCTCTGTTTTATGTGTTGTCTTCTCCATTCAGAGGGCCCCCTGCCTGTCTTTGCCTAGGGCCCCAATTTTCTTTAACCTGCCCCTGTACCTAATGAAGGTTTCTAATTTTCTATGACAGGTTTTAAACTGAGGAAGCGGAGGATCATCAATGATCCCACAGATGGGACGGGAAACTGCCCCCATCTAGTGGAGGCCATACCCTGCGAGGACCCCAGCTGCTTCGAATGGCTGGTGGTTAATCTGGAGGAGTGTGTCCCTGACAACGAGAAGGAGTGTGGACCTGGAACACAAATTCCCCAAGTCCAGTGTGTTAACAGTGATGGTGAGTGGACTTAAAACAGACACATGAAGCTATGCAGCATCATGGGGCTCCATGACACATGATGGGAAGATTTCAGCTGGTTTCTTTGACCTTTTCTTGGTTTCCGTTTGTTGCTCAAGAATTTTAAATTTTAAAGGCGATGAAGCCGTCACTAAGTCTCTTTCTAAGACCCAAGAGAATCATGGCTGATTTTATTTTTTTATTTGCATCTTGGGATATGTTTAGGAGGAAGGTTGAAAACAGCAGTGCTTCCCCTAAAGGGTGAGCCACTAGAAATGATGAGGACTCCTGGATGGATGTCAAAATGTCAAAAAGCCTCTGATTTTGGGGTTCTTGTGATTCCATTTTCTGCCTTTTTTTTTTTCCTTTACGTGTTTTTTTTAAAAAATTTTATCCATGTTACAGCATTCAAAGGTTCCATCCGTTTTCTCTCAGTTAGCCATTGGTTAATTTAAGCTAATGTTATTTTTATCTGTGTGTACCACAGGTTTTTGGCTGTTCTACCTTTTTTTTGCATTTCCAGTCTTTAAAAATGGCAAAAACTAGAACCTGCCCTATAAAAAGAGCACAGAACTTAAGGTATGATCCAAAAACAGCATATATTTCTATTTAAAGTGGTCTTAGTAAGGTGTTTTGGTTTTGGGGAGATATATTTGAATACGCACAAAAAAACCAACCATGTTTGTGTGAACTATGAAGTTCCCCTTGCAGCCTACTGACCCAGAAGGTTTTTAAGCTACTGTTCTCAGTTCATCGGCTGATTTATGTGCAACATCATTAGTTTCCCATTTTTAAATTATTCAGATTATTATTATTATTTTCCCATGCACTGATTGGGAGTTTTTATTATATGTAAGTTATCAAAATAACAAGGAATAAGGCTTGGAATCTATTAACACTCTTTGCAATGAATTTACATTATTTAAACTTTCTAAAATAAACGATTTGAGATGCTGCTACTCTGAATCAGTCATGAGTCACACATTATTTCAAATTTAAATTGACCAAATCTGCATCTGTTAAATACAACCAAGAAAAGGTTGCAACAATAAATTACACTGACATCAAAGAATGTTGTTCTAATTTATGCTTAAATATTGACCCAAAAGATTTCAGGTTCATCTAAAAGTTATAGCCTTTCTGTGCCTGCAGAGAGACGACCATTGGTTGGGGTGTGTCGGTGGGTGTGCGGTTCTAATGGGGGGGGGGGGGGGGGGGGGGGGGGGGTTGTGTCTGTTAATGAGGTCTCTGGGGAGGAAGTCACACAGAGATGGGGGATGTTAAATAGGTTAGATTTAGCCCCCATTCATAGAGAACCGCTTCTGTCTGAGAAACATCGGCAGTAAAGGTGACCCTGTTAACACATGATGGTTTGTTATGAAAAGAAAACAATGAGACAAAGAACAACATTATCAGGTCAACTATAATCACATGTCATGATGGTTAGTTTTTAGTTTTTTGTCGAAATTTGGAAAAAAATTAAAGGTATCCACAACACAAAAATGTAGGATTTTTCAATAGCAAGGAAAACAAAAAAGCTGGGTGTAAATCTTTCAAATATAATGTTGCATGGTGCAGGAACATAACAGGAAAGTACACAACAATCATAACATTTATGGACAGATAACTCATCTCTGCTTCATTTTAATCAGATTTATTTTAATAGAGTAGAATACAAAATCCCTTTTTTGTCCCATAATGGAGAAAGTTCATTTCCAATAATTAGAGACATATTCAACCAATCCAAGTCACATATATGAAAATAGATAGTATGGAAACCAAGGGGAGCATTAACATGCAGGGAGGAAGATGAGATAAAAATTAAAAATACAAAACCCAGAGCAAAGAGCTGGGCGATATGACCTCATATTAATATCAGGATAAACCTCGATAGCATAAACGCTCCGGCTCCTCTATCAGAAATAAAGGCATGTGCAGGAAATGCAACTGATCTATTTATAATCTATTTATAGAGTAGGGGTGGGTATTGCCAAAGAAGTCACGATTCAATTCGAATCACGATTCAAAGGCCACGATGCGATTCTATCACGATGCATCACGACACTTGAATTATTGCGATGCATTGCAATATTTTCTCCTCCATGTTTGGTTTTTGAATGACTCGGCACAGTATCCCGCGGCCGGAAATGCTTGTGACACAAGGCAGCGTGCGTCAACACATTTGCAGCGACATCTACTGGACTGGAAGTGGTATTGCACTTGTTTTTGGCTGATGTTCGCCAACCATTCATGCAATTTTATTTATTCATTTTTTTAAATTAATAATCGATTCTTGGCATCAAGAATCGATGCAGTAGATCACGAAAATTAGAATCACGATGCATCATCATCACGATTATTTTGCACACCCCTATTATAGAGTAAATCACATTACATATCTTGTCTTGTACACATTCAAATTTTAAAAATTTAACAATGTCTCATTGAACAGGAGAAATATTTTATCTCGCTAGCAAACATTTTGCTCAAAGTAGACCATAGGGGGCAGTGTAGGGTAAAGAACATAAGCTTACCACATAATATCTAGAAGTAGAAAAATGTCTCCACTGTGAGATCAATAAAGTCAATCAATCAATCGAAAAATCAATTCTTCCCTATCAATTAATCGCCTGTTCGTGTCATCCCAGAGTGATAATCATTTCCTTCAAAAGCCGGCCATACACTGCATGATCTTTTCAATTGTTGCTCGCAGCTACAACTCAAACTGTACGACAAAACCGAAGGGTTTGAAAGTTCAATGCTCATGATATGTGTTCTTCCACTGTACGGCCCGACGCACTGATGCAATCTATCTGCTCACACTGCATGTCTAGAAACCACACGCTACACTCAGCACCGAGAGATGGCGCTGGTCGGACTCGTCAGTCTGGAAGAAGAACAACTCCCTTGTTTGCCCATGTGCATTGCATGAGGTTCTGGTAAACTGGTTCTTATCTCTGCTTCAAAAGCAGGATTTGCTCACTAACACCTCAACTGAATTTCAAACATGTTTGATTTTCTCCCGGCCTTATGATTCCTGATGGGGAGGTGGTCGTACCCCTTGTACGCTCCACGGAGGACGCACCACGAGGCTAAAACTGGGTAGCCTCGTGAGACCATCCTGATCTCGCGAGCTTTCAAGGTTTCACTCGCAGATCAGTCTGGAGACTCTCCGTTAAAGAAAATTTGGAGCCGTTCACCAAACGAACGTCCAATCAGCGTTGGCTTTGAGGCGGGTTGAGGTGTGACGCAACGAGAAGCGCGACAGTTCAGTCTAAAGAACATGGCGGCTTCAGCCGATGAAACTAGCGTTAGCGTGGCTATCGAGCAAGTTTTATCGGAATTACAGAGCATTTCTTCACTGAAAGAAGAGCAAAACACTGCTATGGAGGCTTTTCTCAGAGGAAAAGATGTTTTTGCTCTTCTCCCGACTGGTTTCGGCAAGAGTTTGATCTATTAATTGGATTGTGCCTGGCTTATGGTTGTGTTTTCGTCGTCCCTCTGTTAGTACGTCATATGCTTTGTTGATCTGATTGGTTTATTTGGCCCGTCTATCACCAACATAGGCCAATCAGCTAGGTTAGAAACTGGGTCCGACCGGAGAATCGACCCAAAAAAGGGCAAAAACTTGTACAGTGTATGCCTTGCTTAAGAGTTGTTCTCAATCTTTTTGATTATTGATATTTAGGGGCTAAATCATAAACTATCAATAGAAGGTAATGTTTGGAACGCCCCACTAGTATTTCTACGTTATTACAAATGTATCTTGGTATGTAGCAAGGAAACTTCTTAAAATGACATAAATTAGCCTCAGGGGCTGTGCGGCCCTCATGGATGTGTAAAACATAAACCATCTTTATGTAAGACAATAACTATTATGGCTCCTCTGGCTATGTGAGATTCCATCTTTAAGCTCGTTTGTAGATACCTTAGTTGACTATGTGAGGATTAGGGCTGAACGACTTTGCCAAAAATTTAAATTGCCATTATTTTCAACCAATATCGCAATTTTACTTTGAATAAAGCACAAGCATGTTTTTTCTAACCTGACTCCGCCAGATGGATTTGCTCCGCATATCCATCTGGAAACCTTCTGTTGAAGTAATTTTGGGAAGGGGAGAAAATACTGGTTAGCTGATTGGCCTATGTTGGTGATAGACGGGCCAAATAAACCAATCAGATCAACGAAGCATATGACGTACTAACAGAGCGATGACGAAGAGGAGCCAATTGATAGATCAAACTCTTGCCGAAACCAGTCTGGAGAAGAGCAAAAACATCTTTTCCTCTGAGAAAAGCCTCCAGAGCAGTGTTTTGCTCTTCTTTCAGTGAAGAAATACTCTGTAATTCCGATAAAACTTGCTCGATAGCCACGCTAACGCTAGTTTCATCGGCTGAAGCCGCCATGTTCTTTAGACTGAACTGTCGCGCTTCTCGTTGCGTCACACCTCAACCCGCCTCAAAGCCAACGCTGATTGGACGTTCGTTTGGTGAACGGCTCCAAATTTTCTTTAACGGAGAGTCTCCAGACTGATCTGCGAGTGAAACCTTGAAAGCTCGCGAGATCAGGATGGTCTCACGAGGCTAGTTTTTTCATGACCTTGAAATCCTAGTTGTGCAGCATTGCAGGACTTTGCTGTAACATTTGCATGAAAAAGTTCTTACTTCTACCATAATGCATAGATCTAGGTGCTAGCTGCAACACTCTGTTTCCTTCTATGCAATAGCAGCCCCACTTTAATCATATTACCGCCACCTAAAGGGCTGGAGTGAGAAATTTTGTGTCTTACTTTTGTTAAATGTATTGTGACTAAAAATTGAGCGCCACTGTGATTTGAAAACTGTGTTTTTCTAAATTGCAATTATATTACAAATGCAATTACTCGCCCAGCCCTAGTGTGGACATAGCCTTAGATAAGGGGAAAGAAAGTCAAAATGCTTCATTTTCATCTCATAGGTACTAACATCAGTGTTATGTCCTAACAGCTGCCCAAACTCCC